TGAATCCCATCTAACATGGACTGATGGACTGGATACAATTCATTCAAGACTTCACTATACTAACATTTTCTTCCTACAGGACCCCACATGACTATCGTTGTCCCATTTCAGCAGGAAGTAACTTGGAGGTTGCTACGCCCCCTTTCCCCATTGTTGTCACTTAGGATAGTGTATATACCTAGTTAGGGATAGCTTCCTATTGTTTATGGTTGGGATTGGAAGGAGGTGTTCAGGCTTGGATACCTCTCTCAGATGACTTTAGGGTTTAGTTAACATGGATAGTTAGGATGTGACAGAAGCAGATTGTTGTATCTTCTTATATTTTACCTTTATGATTGTTAATTTTGGATACTTTATACTGTTGAGTTTTAATCCTCTTTTAGACTAAAAGGGGAATTGTACGGGAAGCTGTAGCCACGCCTTCTTAGGGGCTGGCTACAGGTGTGCCTGACCAGGCTTGTGAGGGCGTGGTCAGAGTAACGTAGTGTGACTGCGTTTTCGGTTTCGGTTTCTCTTTGGTACTTGCGTTACAGGCTGCTGACCCACCGGCTGGCTAGGTCGCTCTGTAACTAAGGCTTTTCCCTATTAAATACCCTTATATTTCTACCTGACTCCCTATTGGTAATTTCCCACTATAGCTATTCTTCCAGGAAACCAGGGTTTGGTTCCCAGAATCCACATAGTGGCTCACAACCATCTGCAACTCTAGTGACAGGGGATCTGCCAACATCTTCTGTCCTCCACTGGTACCAAGTATGTACACAGCACACAGACATACATGCAGGCAAACACACACACACACACACACACACACATATCCCATACATATATATATATATGTGTGTGTGTAAAAATAACACTTTATAGAAAACAGAATAAGGTTTGTAGCACACAATATACTTGTAAGCAACACAGCAATTAGAAAAAGAAACCAAGCAAACATGCATGGGCCCATCTCAAGCTAGTGAACTTCACAGTGTTGCCCACATAGTACTAAAGACAAGAAAGGTGGAAAATTGAGAAAGTCATTGATTCTTCCTACATAGTGTCAAAGAGCCATTGAGGCTAAGCAATACCAATGTCAGAGGCCCTGAAAGGTTATTGTGTGAAATTGTAAAAGTGAAGCCTAGATTGTGGCTGAGAACTCAAGACAGTGGAGATGTCAAAACTATGAGACATGTGTCAAGGAGAGATGAATACAGGGAATGGAACCGCCCAAGAGAGAAAGGCATTGCTAGCAAGAAAGTTGGAAGGGCTGAGGCATCTAAGCCCTTTGAAACTTACGGCCCAGATACCAGATGTGGAGCTAGAAAATTTTGTATTTGCTCTGCTGGGTTTCAGTCTGGATTTCCTCCCCTAAACTTCCATTTTGGAAGGGAAATATATATTCTGTCCCATTTTATAAGATATATAATTTTATGTTTTAAAATAGGAAATCGTAGTTAAGAAATTGCTTAGAATCTCAAGAAGAAGATTTGGACTTTTGAACAGTGCTAAAACTTAAAACTATGGGGACTTGTATTTTTTATTTTATGCATATATGTCTTGCAGCACATTTGCAGTGATAAGAAGGGAGCGTCAGAGCCAGGCACTGGTGGCATGCGCCTTGATTCTCAGCACTTGGAAGGCAGAGGCAGCCTGGTCTAAAAACTAGTTCCAGGACAGGCTCCAAAGCTACACAGAGAAACCCAGTCTCAAAAAACAAAAAAAACCAAACAACAACAAAAAAAGAGGGGAGGGTCAGACCAACTAGAATTGGAGATACAGGCAGTTGTTGGCCACCATGTGGGGGTGCTGGGAACCAAACCCAGGTCATTTGCAAAAGCAGCAAGAACTCTTAACTGCTGAGTCATTTCTCCAGCCACTGCTGTGGGAATGTTTAAAGTTGGACTAAATGCATTTTGCATTGTCAGATGGCCATGAGCTTATGGGGACCAGGGGCAGAAAGTGTTAGTTGGAATGAGAAATTTCCCTCATGGGCTTATGTGTTTGAACATTTGGTCCCCATTTGGTGGTACTGTTTGGGAAGTTACAGAATCTTTAGTAGGTAGAGCCTTTCTAGAGAAAGTATATCACTGGGGACTAGCTTTGAGGGCTTATAGCCTATAAGGGGCCGTGGGCCCAAAACTATGCGGCTTAAAGCCCACCTTTTTAAGCCTTTTAATGACCTTTAAGTTTTCGGTTTAAAGCCAGCTCTGTGCGCCTCCTGTAACCTGTAATTAGATACGGTTTGGTGAAGTGGAACTGCTAACTGCTTCTGTTCCGAGAAAGGGTCTGGAGCTTTTCTGTTCGCTGTTCCAAGAAAGACCACTAGATTTTCCAGCTGACAAGAAGAATGTTCCAGTCCCAGCAAATACCTGATGTTCCTTCTATTATTCCCCCCAATTCTATTGTTGCAGGGCTATTTAAGCCCACTCTAAGCCCCAATAAATCGAGACCTTGACATTGCACAGACGGACTCTTGTCCTTTCTTGCGCCGCTTGGTCTCCCTCCTCTCTCGCCCCCATTTGACTCGTAGGTGGTACCCCCTCGAGACCTACAAATAACCTGTCCTGCTGGACTGGTCAATAGCCCTGTTGTCTTTCTGTTTCCTATGAGTGCATGAAATGTGAACAGCCAGCTCCCTGCTCCCTGATAAACTATCTCTTGAGAAACATAAGCCAAAATGAACTTTAAGTTTCTTTTGGTATTGGTTTTCTATCAAGTGACACAATATTGTAACTTACAGAATGAAATGACAAAGCAAATGTATGACAATACATACTGACCTTAAAAGAAAAACTCAAATAATTTGAAATCTGTAAAACTAGGGAAAAAAATAAAACCAAAGCTTACAGAAGTGTCCTAATCTATTCTGGTTTCTTTAGACTGAGTAACCCATAAAGAGCAGAAAGGAAAAGTCTAGATTAGGGAAATTCAGAGACAGAAAGTAGATTAAAGTTTGTCTGGGACTGTGGGAGAGGGGTTTATGGGGTTATTGCTTAATGAACATAGAGTATCTGTTAGTAGTGATGAAAAACCTGGGAACCAGATGGTTGAGATGGATAAATAGTATGGATATAATTAATATCATTAAATTGTCTGCTTAAAATTGTTACAATGGAATATTGTATATCGTGTATGTTTTATCACAATATATCACAAAGTGAGAAGTAAAAAATGAATGAGTTTTACCTGAAGCATGATACCACTGCAAACAGTATGATTAAAATGTATGCCAGGTGGAACAGAGGGATCACAGTCTTGGAGGTTGCCTCAAACTCCAGCTGTCTTGAAAGGGATGTAAAGTAGACTACCTGCCAGAACAAACAAAAAACATGTTCAGGAAGTACATCCCGATTCCAGAGTCCACCAAACACTGAGAACTACTGGACACTTGATGTTAATAGGCACCCTGTAAAAAGTGAATGATTCACTTCACATAAAATCTGCAGTGTGTTTTCCAACCTTTCCCCCAACATGCAAAGTTTAATAATTTCTCTGCATTTTGGCTAAGATGGGGGGCAGGAACTAACCCTAAATCTAAACAATACAAAACTGAATTTTATAAACAACTGTGAGACCTTATCCTCACTGACAAATGTGGAAATTTCGGCATTTTCTAAATCTTATTAGATTGGTATCTTTTCATATTTTAATTGCCTTAGTTGCTCTTTAAGAAACACTTGGCTTCCCCGTAGGCATTTGCTTTTACTAGGGCTATATATTGGAATTGCTGGCCCAGAATTTTAACAGATAACATATACTTCAATACTAAGCTAGATGCCTTATCTATATCTCGAAAAGATATCTATATCTGAACTAAGGACTGAACTAGTTATATATCTTCTTAAACAACATGACAGAACTTGAAAGTTTCGCCTTTAATTCCACTGGGCACAAACAGGCTTTAGGGACTTTTGGGAACAAGAGGGGGCTCAACAAAAAGAAATAATTTTCAAGTTAGAAAACCAAACTCCATACCAAGTGTGCAAATCAGTTTCTGTACTAAAACAGACTTACTGATACAGTATTTGTGTACAGACCAGAATGATACCAATGCTTTATGATCTTGGTGTCATCCATCCATGTTACAGTGGGATTTCATACCAAGCACAGGCGAGCATACCCAGCTTTAATTCAAAGACCACCTCATCTCCAAATCTCCCACCCTTATTGGCCTCCCTTATAAACCCTAACTTCCGGAATACCTCTGTCTGTTCCAAACTCAGAGTGCTCTTCATGTCCTTAAAATGGTCTAGAAAGTGAGTCAGCCATGCCTTGCTACGCTCACTGTCCTCCGGATCCTCGGTCTTGAGGTAGTACAGCAGCCTCATTGCTCGGGACTCCACAAGTCGCTGATTTTTTCCCATCGTTTCGCCCAAGACATTTCCCCCAAAGAAGCCCGCCAAGTAGATGAGGCGGTTGGGCAAGTTATGGATGGGGAACATGAGGTTTGACAGATCCAATGTCGAGTTATGCTGCCAGGCATGCAGCAGAGGGTTGGGTGGCACACACAGGGTCTTGTACTTGGCGCACACCTCTTTGTAAAGGATCTGTGTTCCGTTTTCCTGTACCACCTTCAGCGCCTGCACCGCTCTGTCCAACTTGCTCACCTCCGTAAATATCCTCGGCTCCAGCAGCGAGTTGGTGAGAGACACCACCAGGATGGATGCGAAGTTGGCCTCTGAGCTGGTCCTGGAGGCGGAGAAGCGGTAAGTGTCATTGGTGCTAAAGTGACTCTGCACGAAGCGCCGCTCAGCCTTGGCAGGGCTTCCAATCGGTGTGTACTGCTCCTCCAGGTTCTCCTTCTCCTTGGGCAAGAAGAGGAGGCCTGTGCCCAGCGCGGCCGTCAGCAGCGCCGGCCCAAGCAAAAACAGCCAGGGGTGCGTACCCACCGAGGCACCAAGGCGCAGGAAGCAGCGCGACAGGGGTGCTTCTAAGCAGTCGGTATGGCAGCGAAGTGGCGGAGGTGCCTCCTGACCCAGGGGTGGCAGGCGCTCCGATGGCGGCCCTGCAGCCCAGCTAGGGCCCGCCTCGCTAGGTGGCGCTGCCTCCAACCGACCTTCAGACAACATCTCCCGCTGACCTTCCGCTCTGGGGGCCACCTTGGAGGAGATCATGTCGCAATGCAGTTGTTCACAGGAGCTGCTGCCAAGCGGCTTGCACCCCAACGGTCTGGGACCCAGGGACCGTTGGCTGCTCGGGTGCCCGGATGCTGGTGGCAACGGTTGGGAGCACGTGGCCGAGGTGACCTTCCAGGTCCGGGTCTGTTCCAGGGTTAGAGTTAGTGACATTCTCGTCACAGAGCATCTCCTCAAGCCAGAGCCCCGTGGAGCACCTCTCCACCCCTACCAAATTCCTCTCTGGGAGCGTAAGTTTACCCTCTCCAGCTTGGCATCCCAGTGGCAGGGACAACTTCACACTTGCTTTGTTGTCATGGGTTAGTCTCTTTTCCCCTATTAGATTGTCAAATCTCTGAGATTGAGGCTTATTATTGTATCTAAGTTTGTCAACAAACGTAAATGCCAACCAGAGGAAGTATTTAAGTATTTCTTAGAGGAAGGAAACACTGCTTTTCCTAATTACAAAGTTACCTCTATCAGTCTGAAGTTTACAGTTTCCAATCTAAATGAAAACTGTACTGAGACAGCTAGATTTGAGAATCATTATAAATTAATACCCAAAGAAGGAACTGTAGCACATAGATTGTTGCTTCCAGTTTATTTCTTTTATATGTAAGTAAAAAACCTGCAACCAGATAGCATTTATTGGAGACTGGTTAAGAACATGGAACAAAATTTCTCCAAAATTTGTTGCATCTTTGTGTGCTTTGCAGTGTCAATGAAACAGTATCCATTATTTTCACCACAGCAGGAGACAGATTCTTTGTTGGTTTGCTGAGTTATTGTGCCCATCCTGGAATTGTGGTATGCAACTGTGTAAATTTCCAAATGTTTATTCACCCCAAAGAAGGAAGGGTCTAACAGATTAAAGAAAGATTCTGCCCTCCCCACTTTTAAAACAAATCAAGGGTACTTACTGAGACAGCTGTACCACCAAAAAGACTCACCCTCAGTCAACATTTTACTTCTTACAGTCAGCCCTTGCCTACCTAATGCTGGGAAAGGGTGGAATGGGGGTTGAAATATCAGGGAAGAGTCAGGGGTAGGTCTTGTGAACTTCCCTCAAATAGATCCTACTAACAACCCAATTGCTACATGTCTAGCTATCTGCTGTATATTTCTGTTGATTTTGTTGTTGTAGCTGCAGGCTAAGTTCTCCTGTAAGTTGTCACAACTATTCTGACACATGGTGGCAGTGAGTATGTTAAGCGGAGTGCTTAAACTGGTCTGTTTAGAGTTGGTCAAAAATTACAGCTGAAGCCAGATGCAGTGGTCTGCACCAGTAGCCCTAACTATTCAGGAGGTTGAGACAGAAAGGTTGTAAGTTCAAGGTCAGTCTGGGCAACATGGCTGAACCTTGTCTCAACAATATATTGAAGCTAAGGAACGGCCTATAGCTCAGTGTTAAAGTGTTTGTCTAGCACGTACAAGATCCTGGAACACACACACACACACACACACACACACACACACACACACACACACACACACAAATGCACCAGGACAAATTCTAATAATACATGGACTAACTATTAATCTACCCTGTCATGCGTAGTGATAGAATGAAAGTAATGTTCAGGGAAACACACCTAAAAATTACATCCAAAGTAAATCAATACAAAAAGTAAAATGAAGCCAGGCGGTGGTGGCACACACCTTTAATCCCAGCACTCGGGAGGCAGAGGTAGGCAGATCTCTGTGAGTTCGAGACCAGCCTGGACTACAAGAACTAGTTCCAGAGTTCTTGTATTAACCTCCAAAGCCAAAGAGAAACCCTGTCGTCTCGAAAAACCAAAAAAAAAAAAAAAGGAAAATGAATAAATTTAATAAATACAACAGTTCAGACACTGAATAATTTGGCTTCAATTGGGGTAGAAATTGAAAAGATAGTGTTAGACCTTTTGTCATTTTGTTTTATTTTAAAAAGATCTCTTTTTAATAAAATTACTTAGGTTACAGCAAGACTAGAAGACAAAACTTTCCTGAAGGAGATTCAAGTTGAATTCCTAGTGTCATAGAAAAGAAATAGATATGGAGAACAAGCAAAGGATGGGACAGGTGGAGAAGATACTATGTGACTACTTAGAGGAACACAAATGAGTTAATTACAGGAGTATGACTGGTGGGAGGGGTACATACAGAAGCATGGGAAACTCTAAGATAGGTATTTTACCAGCAATTACAGTACAGCATACATGACAACTGGGATGAAAGCTGTGTCCCTGAAGCTACATGAATAACTTGCAAACAATTTAGCTAATCAGAGACTCTTCTATCCCTAGTAACATCAGTATATGTGAATCTCTAAAACCCTAGACCTTGTTTTACTTACTCACTGAGGCTTTCCACAATGAGGATGCTTTCCAGGATTCCTGGGTAAAATTGCTTACTCCTACTCCATAGGCCCCAGACAGGGAAGATTTAGTATCACATACCCAAGGGGCTGGGTTTCTCTAAGATATTTCAGAGTTAGAAATAGTTGTACAAAGAATTTCAAGGATACTGGAGATTATCATTGGTAGACATCAGTAGTATTTTGAATCAAAACCCAGCTGTAGCCTGAAAGATCACACCATAAATCTATTTTAATGGGTAAGAAACCAGCCAGGAAAAAGAACTTTGAGACGAGAGGCAAAGAGAGAAATCTCCAAGAACCTAAACCTAAGCAAAGGTCTGCCCTATACCCCTACAGAAAAATGAGAAGCCAATGTTTGATCTGTTCTTCCTCTAGTTTCTTAATTTCTACCTTGTATTCTTTCACATTTTTAAAAATGTCTCCATTTTGTCCTGTGTAATTACAAAGTTTGACTTTGAATGCTAGTTAGCAGTGGTCAGCATAAACTAATTCTTTTTCACAAAAGCTGTAAAAAGTTGCCACTGTCCTGGATCCGAAAATGTTCTTTGAAAATGTAATTTTCAAAATTTTATTTCTCACCTCAGGTAGCCTTTACTGGTGTGACACAGTTGGCCATGAATATTTTTCAAAATTTCAAAAGTGGAGCTGGCGCTTATTTTGGTAAGGTAGCTGGTGGCAGGAAGCAGATTTGAGTAGTCAATAATGGAGAAAGAGAAGGTCAAATGGCTGAGGTCACCTAGAACTGCACTTCTTGGCGAAAGTCAGCCCTCTATTTTCAATGGAGTTCAGATTCCAGGTTACTAACTATGGACAGTGTGGCCTATTTAGTCTGCTTTCTGTGCAGCCTTTCAGCTGATTGTGCTTTGCAGGATTGCATTTGGTAGCTCCTTCTCTGATGGTTTCTGACAATGAAATAAGTGAGAGGCTGGGAGTGAGTGCTTGTTTATACAAGCTTGAGGACTTCAGTTGATGTTCCAAACCCATGATTTGTTTGGTTTTGTTTTTAATGGGGGGGGGGAGCGCTTCTAAAATCCCAGTGTTGAGCCAGTGCATGATTCCAAAGGAATGACATCCAAGGTTAGCCTCTGTCTTACAGTTTCTATTGCTGTGAAGAGACACCATGATGACAGCAACTCTTGTTTTCTTTTTTTCTGAGATAGGGTTTCTCTGTGTAGCCCTAGCTGTCCTGGAACTCTGTAGACAAGTCTGGCCTTGAACTCACAGACCTGCCTCTGTCTCCCAAGTGCTGAAATTAAAGTTATGTGCCACTACTGCGCAGCCACAGCAACTCTTATAAAGAACAACATTTAATTCACTCTCCTGGGACTTAACAAACTTTTACTTGAAGTTTCAGACCTGAAAATATGATTTTTGAATTTTCTGGAAAGTAGATTCTTTGTCTAGGATCGTTGGAGCACCTTCAGGGTGTCTTCACAAAGTTTGTCTTTTTCCTGAAAGGAAAATTTTTCTCACGTTAAGGAAATTCTGAAATGGTTACTAATATGTGGCTAAAGGAAATAATAGTTTGGGTCAGTTCCTCTGCACAAGCATGTGGTGTCAGCAGAGTAAAGAGCAAGACTGGGCTCGACTCACAACTACCAATGTAACTACAAGTTAATTTTTCCTTTTGCTTGGCTTGGATTATATCTCCAGCTGTGTGCTTTGTTGGGGAAAGATTTGACCATTCTTGGCAGCTGTATTTGGTGCTATGAGAGAGGCAACTAGACATAATCTATAGAGCATGGCTGCTGGCTGGGAGGTTCTTAGTGACCTACCAAACATCCCCAAGCTGTTTGTTAACTAGAATTGTAATCCCCAAGAAGCAAGAACCCCTGGGCAGTAAACAATTGAGACAGGAACCATACCCTATCCCTGGCTGCACCTGCTCTTTCCCTCACCGTGCACCAAGCTCACAGAAGGAAAAACAAGCTCTAAAGCACAGTGGAGCAGGAGCTCCAAAAGCACATATTGCAAAGTGGTGATGTGCCTGGCTGTGCTGCGATCTAATGGGACTATTGGTGCTAAATAAGACCCTGTCACACTTGGAATCTCGGTTGTCTAGAGCATAACAGAGGGAAGAATACAGACCTGCCTGCCCCCACTAAGCTCCTGCAGTCAGAGCATGGCACAAGGAAACAAGTGGGAGGAGGGCATGGAATAGCCGGAGGAAAAGAGATACGTTCTCTTAGTGCAGTATGGGATGGTACACTTTGATGCTGCCGGATCATTGTTTCCCTTCAGCACATATGGCTGGAGACAGAGACACTACCAACACTAATACTTAAGAAAGGGGTACAGTACTGAAATTCTTACTGAACTGAGCCTAAAGTTTGACTCTAGCTTCTCCAAGACCCTTTGTAAAAACTAACCCAACATCCTCTAAGACAGGCTATATTGATGGTTTTACCAGGAGATAAAAGGTGGATGGAAGGGAAAAAAACAGGTCTGTGAGAGGTCTGGTGGGACTTCACATGCCAAAATCTAGTTCCTGCAGGCAGAAAAGCAGGCATTGGCATGGGAGAGGGGTCTGCTCAGATAATATGATTTCAGGACAGGCCCCTCAAATGGAATATGGGCATCAATACTCTACTGGAATTTTAGCCACTCCTACTTATTGAGCTCCTGCTGTTTGTTGATGACCATTCTTCTCAAGGACGTGGGAAGACAGAATGTGATCTTGTTTTCCCGGGTGCCTTCGTTTTGCAAGGCTGGGCTTGCATGGACCTGTAGGAAGAGCTTTCTAGTGGGTGAGCAGGATAGAGGTTCATTATTTAGGGGTGCTGAAGGACAAGGGGTCAGCAGGAACCCCCCCTAAAGCCTTTCTGTTGTGATGAAGACTATGGTTTTTTTTTAAAAATGAAATGTAGGAAGAGTGGGCATGACTTAGGCTTCTTTTTAAAGTAATCATTTGGCTACCAGTGGGTAGGGGGAAGGGCAGCAAAACACTGAGAGGCTTCAAAGAGTCTAAGCCAGATAAGCTACTCAGGGAATGGTATAGGTCTGAGGGGCTGAGGGGCTGAGGGGCTGAGGAATTGGGGACTTAAAATTTGGAGCCTTGGGAAATAAAGGATGGATGTGGGCTTATGAGGAGAGCCAAGTTGAGCAATGCATAACTTAGGCAGGAAGACTGGGTTTTTTTTTTTTTTTTTTTTTGGTGTGTGGGGGGTTTGTTCTATTTTGGACATAGCACATGTGAGGTTGTATTAGACACTGAAGTGGAGACAGATCAGAACAGGGAAGGGAGTTCATGCTGTGGGTACAGACCTTCTAAGAAGGGTATTCTCAAACAACGCAGCATCCAGAGGTAGAAGAGTGAGAATGTGCAGCACCAGAAACCACAACGAAGCCTCTAGGGACTAGGATGTGTTCAGCTCCAAGTACCAGAGCAATAGTTCATCTGTCTGCTCCTCCCAGATGTATCTCTGTTCTCCATGCCTGAGACAACAATGATGGCCCTGTTGTAGGGAATCAGACCCTGTCACAGCTCAGGCCTGAGTCTCCCATATCCCTCGGCCCATCCTTCCTCCCTTTGCCAGACCTCCCTGTTAATGACCTCTTCCCCATATACTCCTCTCTGTCCCAGTTCTTCTGCCTTCCTGTTATTTTTCCTCTCCTACCTGTTGGGTCTCTGACTCCCTCTCTTGGCTGGCACAACAGGACAGGCAGGGAAAACTGGTCAAGTTATGATGAAGCAGCTTCAGCTTCTGCATTTCAGGAGAAATCCACTGGCCATCCATCAGGGTTTCTCAACAGAGAAACTTCCATACCTGTTCTTTGAGCTTGGTCTGAAATGAAGGCAACACTTCATCTGTTAAAAGCCTCACATGACCCCATTCATGACGAGCTAGTTAATTTTGTTACTTGCATTTTTCTTTCTTTTAAGAAAACAATATTGTGCTCATCTATAAAAGCATGTACATAGAACCCAAGTATGTCCCAAGTACAACCAAACCTGGCACAGATATGCTGGGAGCTGTGGCCAGTCATGGAAAAGCAGGAAAAAGAGCCAGTTGGTGGAGCTGAGGGAGAGTCAGAATAGTCACATCTCCAAGACAACAGAGCAGATGCCTATGAGGAGGAAACTCACAAAAGGGGTGGCGGAGGTGGTTAAGAAGGAGGAGTCACCATGGAAGTGAATGTATAGGCATAGAACCAAGGATCTACTCAGAGCTTCCAGTAGTGAATCATGATCATTGCTGGCTTTAAATCTGTGAGCCTCCTGCTGCCACATGGACAGTATTCCCCCTTTTCTACAAGTCCTTTTCTGGTCTGAACCACCTTCTTAATTGCCTGTAAAAGAGTCAGTGGTGGATGACAAACACTCCCTCCCTGCCTATGCTTCCCAGGTTTCTCAGTGCCCTTTTCTGGACCTGTTAAACCTGAATCCCATTCAGATGTTCTTATCCTACCGCCTGCCTTACTAACCCAGTTCTTTTTTTAAAATTTTTACTAACCCAGTTCTTCTTTGTAATTTTCTATCTCCCCTTCAACATTCCTGGTCAGCTGTGAACACATACCTAGCTATTCTGTGTTCAGTTTTCTCTTCCTATTGCAACCATTCTGAATAGTCTTTCTGGCCATTTTGATGGAACTTCTATGAAAAACTCTCCCTAACCAGTCCTGTCTGACAACTCTAACAAGAGGAAGAGTGACAGCAGTAACTGCAGTGTGGATTCAGATGCTTGGTTCCTCCTGTTGGTGTGTGTGGCTATCCATGTGGTATGCTTGTTTTCTGGGGTCCCTTTAGCTCTGTGACTTTGGCTGACAATCTCAACAATCTGTCTGAAGCACAACGTACTCATGAACCTGAAAACAAAGGGTTGTCCAGAAACTGACACCCTCAGGGTCACAGCATAGCCTCCATTCCAGGACCTTGACAGTGATGTATACAAAATGGCCTCAGCCAAAGCCTTTGGATGCTCCTTTTGAGACTCAACAAATATGGAAACATCATCTCTCCATGTAAGCCTTGTGGCTGGGAAGGAATATTAAAGTTGAGAGCCAGATGTCTCACATCTAGAGCAAAAATAAGAATCTCTAGAAACTGAGCTGAGCCAATGAAGAGGAGTGCTCCTCTGTCAAGAGATAACATAGGCTCATGTTCTCAATACCTCATGCCTGTGGCTTCAGCTTCCACTGAGGAATTGTCTGGGGAGGAGAGAACATCCAGCATGTTGGTCTTTCAGTTAACTTCTTATCACAATGGCAAAAGAGTGCAAACATGACAGCTAAAGGGCACTCTACCTGCAAATTTGTACTAAGTTTTGTGTGTCTATTTTTGAGGATTTGGATATATATTATGTCTGTAAAGGGCTTGAGACTAAAGCAATTTTAAAAATGGGCTGGTGATAAAAAGAGATATTTTTAACACTTTGGTCAATTCAAACTCCTACAGCTGAGGATGATAAAACTAAAAATCTGTATTTACACAGCAAAAAAAATTATTATCAGTTGCCAACCTAGATGACAATGTCAAAGTCCCTCCTTGAATCTGCAGGAAGCCCATATCCAGACAATATATGTGCAATTTGGGAGGATATGAATAGGAACACACAGCAGGTAACAACAGTGACAATTTTTGAATTATGAACACTATATTTTAGTGATATAAATTACCAATTGGTATACAGTACTGAGTTCCAGACAAATGTAAGGATTACACAATAAATAGTCCATAATCTGTATATAGGAAATAAAGATTATTTTAAGTTAGCATTTTCCTAGCAATCCCTCAAGTACCACAGGAAAAAATTACATCCCTCCAGCCTCAGAACTGAGCCATAGAACTGCTTTAGGGGGATGGTGCAGGCTGTGCTAATAAATAATAATGTAGACTCATGGGGTGAAACAAGGCAAAATAGGACACAGTATTTGAGAAGGAAAGGACCTTATCCCCTTTGCTTTCTGCAGTGCTCACCTATAGACAAGTATGCACAAATTCAAATATCCACCCATGCATCCACCCAATCTCAATGTTTGATTTAAAACAAAGACCTTATAAATAGAAAAATAAAGAAAAAGATGGACATAACTATAAAAACACAGCCACTGATGCACTCCCATGTGCTACTGTCCATATGGCCTCATAAATACTGGCTACACTTCACTTTAAGGCAATGATCTGGTCTTTTCATTGTTACTAACCTGGACAAGGATAATCACAACTTTAAAAATGAAAGCCCAAAGAGAATCTATTCAGCAATGCATCATCAGAGTCACTATTTTCTTTTAATAAGTAGCTTGTAGCCAAGCTAAAGTATATTTTGTCTACCCTATACTCTATAATACCACAAGTTACAAAGAGCAAAGTGAGCAGTGAGTCTTTCTGCCAGAAAAATGCCTTGCTTTCTCCACTAAAAAAATAAAATCATCAGCTACCATTGTCATTGCTACAATGAAAAAGGAAACTGCAAAGAATAAAACACCATCTTTCCAGAATCATGAGAGCTTTTGAGAGGATGTGACATGTGTAAAAGCCATATCTACAGATACAAGGGAGAATCAAAAATATCTAGTTGAGGCTAATTCCCATTCCTTTCCACAATCCCTACTCCACATATGTTCCCAACTTTTCTGAATCTCAGGAACCAGCCTGTCTGTCCCCAAAGTCCTCCATGTTGTATAGCTAAAGCTCCCTGGAGGGAGTAGAGAAATGCCCAGGAATAACACAAAGTACTCAGAGTTCTCAGGTCTGCTAGCCACTTCCAAGAGGACCTATTCCTTCTGCTGTAGTATTTAAATCTCAATGGATAGAAATGGAAATGAAGCTGGAATTTAATGGGAAAATAAAGACAGTTGTGAAAATTTGCAAGTATGTGGTTCCAATGGGGACACACACCCAGGCAGACACATTTTACATAATGGACCAACATGTATGTACATACAGAACATGCCGTGACTTGTACACAGGCACATATTCAACATGTACACACATGCGCAACCAAACACATGCATGTACCAAATACATACATGGCTCACACATGTATAATGTAGAACAGAGAGTCCTGGAGATCCCAAATAACCTCTTTCTGGCATGTGAACTTTATTCCAGCTGGTAACCTGAGCACAAATCCATATCAACACAGTTCTGGACCAGGCATAACCAGGAGTATATCCCATATCTATCACTGTCCTCAGTAGCAAAACTGCTCCTTGGTAAGGAAAGGCCATTCCTATAGGCTTCCTGCCCACCTCCACCCTTAGGACTTAGCTGAAGACAGGAGTCCTGGGGCCCGGAGACTGTGAGGCTAGCAACAACCTCACTTAGGAGCTTAGAGGTGTGCAGCTCTCTTCTCAGCAATAAATTGGTAACTAGGGATCAGTATTTCCTCCATCTCATCAGCAACTCTAAAAGGTCTTCCCATGCTCTGCCCAAGTCAGCAGCTATGTCCGAATGCCAAGAAGCCTGAGCACACCAGCTTTGGCTATGGCTAGCACTTGGCAGACAGGCAGGGATATCCTAAGGAAGAAGCAGCTCTGCCCCTTCTAAGATACCCACAATCTATGTTCTGTCTCCATTCATCAACACCAGGGTGTTCTGGCTAGTTTTTAATGTCAACTTAACACAAGCTAATCAGTTTGGAAGAGAGACCCTCAACTGAGAGAATGCCTCCAACAGATTGACCTGTAGGCAAGCTTGCAGGACATTTTCTGCACACACTACTAATCCACACTCAGACTCCCAAGAAAGGCTTCACCATTTCTCTGAACCTCACCCTGAGTTGGGAGGAGGCTTTACCATTTTCTCATAGGTATGAGAGTAGGTTCCTTGGCATGGCCAGCTCCTGTCAACAACACACATTCACTCAGGGCTTCACATACTCAAGAGCCAGAAATGGCTCTCCCTCCCTCAGTCAACTCTAAAGAGCCAGAAACATCTCCCTGTTCCAAACTTATCTGCCTTGGGCTTTGAAATCATTAAATAGAGTTTTTCATACATCCTAATCAACATGAGTTTCATCAAAGAAACATTGCACTGATCACCCATGTGGAAGAGGCTCTCATACTCCCCTTCCTTCATCTCTGTCTGTCTATGGCATGAGGATTTACCTAACTAAGGCACAGGCCAGGCTTCCCACAGTCAGGATGCACCCTGTGGGGGTGGAGGCAGCAAGAAGACATAGAAATCAAGTCCTTCATGTAAGAACGGCTCAGAGAAGAAGACATGGGTCAGATGAAACTGGGTATGGAGTTAACACGCTTGGAGAGAAAGAGCTGTTTTGAATGCTTGGGTTCAAAATCTTAATGAAATGGTCAAGTAAGAAACTATGGGGATCCAACACACCCGGAGGCCCTGGTAACAGTTCTGCCACCATCCACCAGCCCAGGCAGGCCAGGCGCTGTTTCCGGTTCTGGCTTGGCATCCCTGCTCAGAAACATCTGACACCAGGTTTCTGCTCACTGGATCCAAACTTGGCAGTGGCATCCAACACACCCAGAAACTGCCAAGGCCCCAGTAACAGTGCCACCTCCATCCACAAGAAGAGGACAGACATCAGAGTATTGGAACTGTCTGCATCTACCAGAAGGGACCCTTGGTCCCACACCCACCAGGAGAGGAAGAGCCTCCTGCTACACCCACCAGAAAAAGGATGGGAAGAGGACAATGTAAAAGCACATTCAACAACAGAAAACCCACTAAGACACCACCGGGGACTAGGACCCATACACCAGCAAGACCTGAACATCACAATGCAGATGAAGCAGAGGAGAATGACCTTCAAAACATCTTCATAAAAATGATAGAGGACCTCAAAGAGGACATGAGAAAATCCCTTAAAGAAATGGAAGAAAAAACAAACCCAAAAATACAAGATATCAACAAATCTCTCAAGGAAACAGTTCAAGACCTAATAACTGAAATAGAGACAATAAAGAAAGCATAATCTG